CATTGGGATTTAGTTATGTCATTGTGGTTAATTGGACACAGTTGAATGACTTTCATTGTCTCCTTCTCCAGACATCGTCGCATGGAAGCTGTGCGTTTGAGAAAAGAAAATCAGATTTACAGTGCAGATGAAAAGTGAGTAACTGCATCCTGTATGTTTTATGTCTATAACATCAGCTGGTATTTTTATTGATTCTAGTCATTCACTGCCTTGTAACTTATTTTACTTCTTGTTTTAAACAGGCGAGCACTGGCTATGTTTAACTATGAAGAAAGATCCAAGAGAGAGAACAAAATCTTGTCAGACTTCAGAGAGATGATTCATCAGAAGATCAACAACAAGAAGTAGTTACTTCAGTCATCTTAGCTTCCTCCAGTTTCCACTGCTCTTTTCAATATTGCTTGACAAGGAACAGGCATACCAAAGTATTGGACTTACAAGTGGCAGAGAAGAGTACAAGAGAGAATACTACCCACAGACAGCCAAAGCGATGCTTTTCCATCATTCAGAATCAAAACGTTTTTCTGTTATGGCCCCAGTTGTTGGAAGGGAGGAATAAATTGCTATCTGGTGGATAAATGTAACCCAGCACCTTTTCTTTTAAATTATCAACACCTACATATACTTTATCCACTGGATAGCAATTTATCACTTGGTTAGTATTATCCACCCTAAAACTGGACCACGGTGTTTTCACAATGGAGGCCTAGGTATTTAAGTACACCCCAGAATTCTAAATTACAGGTTTCAAGGAATCACTAGGTCATGAGGAATAAATGCTAACTAAATTGTCTTGAAGTGAAAACAGTAATTAGGCTACAGTTTGTTTTACTGACTCAAGTGAGCTATCAAAGAACTCATTCAGGTGCAACCTAAAGGATTTTTCTTTCTCACTGAATTATAACATCATTCACAATAGCTTCACTTGTGTACAGAGAAAAGTTTTCACCATTAAAAGTTTCATAAGTTTAAGTGGAATTAAATCAAGTGCAAGTCTTTCAATTTTAATGTAACTGATAACAAGCTAACAGACTAGGTATAGCTTACACGAAAGCTTACAGTATAGGTATGTTCCTAGATTGATAAGTTTTCATAGGGTGGAGAATGATCACCTGACATTGTACAAATTCTACAACTGTATCATAGAATACTTTTAAATAATTATATGCTGTGTGTTTACCCAATGCTTTCAATAAGATTTAAAATAGGTGGCTACCTCGGTACAACACCCGCCGGAGAGCGACTTGATTGCGACTTAGCGTGGCGGATGCGACTTGAGCGCGGTGAAATATACCCGGCGACTCGCAACAGAATAGCCGCTGGAGCTCCGGCGGGTGCCAGGTCTTATTGAAAGCACTGTTACCTGACATGTGTAAATTTGAAGAACAGAATTTTGCAAGTGCTTCATTACCTATTTCAAAGCAGTACAACAAAGAATTGCAATGAATAAGAACTCACACAGTTTCAAAGGCCAACTTCCCGCTGATCTTTCGTTACAAGCAGGTTGCATGCAAGTCTTCAACCTGGAATGTCTTATAAATTATCTGATAACCAGGAAAGGGTATTAAAACTTGCAAAGAATTGAAGAAGTACTGCCAATGGTAGCAACATTTCCTTTAAAAATTCTTTTTAACTCGCACGATCTGCTTGCTAATTCTCCCCTCTAGCTGCTACACATTTCTTTGTAAATAAGTTATGAACGTTTAGTGTTTGATCAACATGGCAATTTTAACCAGATAAGTTTAAGTATTCTCATTGCCTGTTTGCGGTATATTTTATGGATAATATAAGGAGATGTCGTAAAATAGGTTGTGATTATACACTGTGGTAAATGACACTTAAAAGAGAAATGTAATCAGTTGTCTAATGATGTGGTCACTTAAGATATGGATTGCAATGTTTTGACTGCATACTGCAAGTCTTCTTCATGCAGTCCAAACGTTGCAATTCACATCCCAAGTGACCACATTGTGAGACAAACAATTACAATCCTGTTTTAAAAATACCTTAAATTCCCTTTAAAACATGTAGATTGAAATTTAGATGTCAAGCCTTATCATGTAAACAGTAAATTGTCTCTTTTACATGTAATATATCTTAAATAGAAAGCTAGCTGAGGGAATTTCTTAATCGAGGTCATGACTTTTCAATTATTATGAATGCATTCCTCATAACACCAAAATACTCCTCAGGAGAAAGCAAAACTTGTTCCTCAAGACGATAGTAAAATTTGTCCAGAATCATACTTTTCTCCTCTGCAGAATGATGGTCACAGAGTGCTGTAAGAAAGAAAAAACGCATCATAATTGACATTCAAGAGTACAGTTGGACCTTGATTATCTGGACTTCAATTATCCAGATTTCTCAATTATTGGGACTTTTTCTCTGGTTCCAATTTTTTCATGAATATTTGTTAGTCATGATCAAGATCTGTAGCCCTTTCCTTTTTAAAACTACAGCATTGGAAAGTGAAGTAAAGGCAAAGTTCCTCTTTTACGACAAACTGACTCACTTCCTACATTGTAGGATCTGGGTCCCAACCACATCCACTTTGGAAACAGTTGACCAGTTCAGGAGTGTACTCACCCAACCAAAAAAAGGTATTGCTTCAAGCTCTGGTTTGTTCAGTCATCAGTCTTGCACATGCTTTGGCATTTCCAGTAGCTTGCCACATGGCTTTCTCTGGTAAAGAAAACTCTTTTAATTCCATAGAGATGAGATTAAGACCAGCTTTTCTGACCAGCGATGCATCTGATATGAATGGCTCCACCAGTTCTTCACGAGTTTGGAAATATTCAGGGAAGGTCATTTCTTCCATATCTTTCTGTGGTTAATGGCACCTTAGAATACATATGAACTCACAACCAGAATATCCCTGACCCATTCACTCCCAAGATCTCATTAGCAAATCTCCTTGCTGTTTTTAGTTATACAATTCTTGGCCTTGGTCACTCATAGGAGTTAATCAAGGGTTAACGAACCTCTTATAATGCAGATTCAAAGTCGTTGTCTACTACAGCAGAACCTTAGTGATCATTTAAAGATAACTATAGCTAAGCAAAAATAGGGCAATTTTATAATGTTAACCAAACTTTCATTGAGGTTAAGAAGAGTAAATTTCTAAAGAATCTGTGGTACTGCATCGTTACAGGGTATAACAAGATAATTTGATTTTATCAACTGAGTTTATAATTAAAAGTAAATTGGCCACTGTAAAGCTTTTCTAAAGCTGATGTTTCATCATTTGCTCTCAAGGGCCAATTTACAGTTATGTCAACTCAGTTGATAAAAGCAAATTATTTAATTTTGTTTGTTTATGTGACAATTTACACGAGGCACTTGGAGAAATGTTGTTTAAAAGTCTGGCTCACATTGGTTAAAGATAAAGTTCATAAAATGTTCACTTTACCTTTGAAATGATCCTGTCTTTTTCCATGCTCTCCCACACATTGTACAGTAACTTGTAGATTACAAAACCTGAGAGGCCAGTTTCGATTTCTCCAATTTCACAGGTTAAAATCACTGCCAGCCTACCGCCAGCTTAAACAAGGATAAAACATCATTATGATAATGATTGTAATTTTAACAAATACTGCTAGAGCAATTTATGTGTCATCAGTTCACGTTAAAGCACAAGGGGAAGCACCATACTTAACAATTGGTAGAGAAAAATTCACTGTCACATAATGACTGTACACTAGTACTGCCTCTCTGGAAGGTAATTGCGTGAGTGTGTTATACCAAGTATTTCTATTCTAGATGAGACATGAAAAAAACCTTTGCATATTGTTTTTGTTTAGTTAGGAAAACAGCTGAAGCAATGAGAGTAAATTTATTTAGAGGCAAGTGCAAAGTGAAACTTAGTCTGGAGACTTATTTCAGCTTGATAAACATTAATTTTTTCAGAGTCGTTGTAAACATTTCTTCTCACCTTTGGCAAGTTCTTTTGCTCTCATTAACAAGAACTGTACCCAGTCTTTCTCAGCCTGTCTGGTAAACATGTTTCTCTCACTCTGGACTTCGGAGAAGCAACACAGGACAACCTTAGTCAAATTACAGGGCTTTTTCCTCAGCCACTGAATTGCCATGCAGGAAAAGCCCAAATTTACAGACTCGCTGGGAAAACATTGCTTATAAAAACTGGTTCCTGATGCAGATACAAAGACATTTGGGAAATCAAGAAGATAGCTGGATGAGTGTGGCAGTAAACCTGAAACAAAAATGTGTACAGCTGCAGTTTTAACTAAGGATTACTTAACCAGAGGTTGCTTCAATGAACTTTCTCCCCAGCCATTCAAATACAAGAATCAATTCATAAGAAGTGTCCAATTTGACTCTAAAGCGTTTCATTAAGCTTGCACTTCTTTAAAAACTATCACAAGTTTCTTTTGTTAAAAAATGAAAATATAGCCTATTAATCCCTTTGAAATTCTTTTTTTTTTTTTATTATTACAAACAATCACCTGGTATTTGTATCCCGTTTACCCTCACCCACTACACTCAAGGTCAGCAGGAAAAGGAGGGAAAAGGAGAGGCCCTGAGAATGAGGTTATCATTTCAATATACACAGATTTTTATGTGGTGAGGGGGGGGGGAGGAAAATTTTTTTCTAGACAAACCTTCTGATCTTAAGTAGGAACTCAGTCTTGCAATCAAATAGCAATTACTATCATATGCTTTTTCTTTACCTTGCAGAAAATAAAAGATTGAGTTGTAGTCATTTTCTGGTCTGTCCTCATAATTTATTTGAATTTCAAGCTCATTTCCATACAAGTTTCTCAATTCCTTCACACATGCATACATCAGTGGCATGGAGGTCCCTCCATCAGCACAGCCATAAGTCAGCAATAGTGAATGGCTTCCCAGAATTCACAGCAATGGACTTCAAAGACTCGATTACCCCTGGAGAAATATGTTTTATGCTTTCCTCAGATATTAAAAATTTTGAGGTAAAGTAGCCAGCTCCTGAAGGAACCCACTCAGTATGAGGTTGGGAAATCTCCAACAACAACAAAATTAATTTCGTAAATACAATAAATTTTAATTCTTTACTCAAACACTTATCATCTAGGGGCTATAACTCATTCAATATCAGAATGTGTGTAAACAACATGTTTGATTTAATGAATCACAAACATTATATAATGCGAAATATCAATAAATTATTTAAAATGATGAAAAATGGAATTGAATAATGATCCTAAAGAAAAACTTAAACACTGACTGCGATCATGCTGAGGTCCATCGCAGCTACCTCATCACGAGATCTTCGATCGTTGCGGTGAAGCAAGCCACAGAAAATTCATCAGCCGCCTGTTGAGGGAAATGAACCAAGAGCTTGCTCTGATACCCTTTCCGATGCATTACGTCAAGTTCTCCTGCGTTGTCAACCCAGGCAATCTTTTTTTCTCCTGAGAATTTGGCTGTTGTTCATTAATAAAACACACACCTTATGCAGTTTGCTTTCACAGGAAGTTTCACGTTCAGATTCCGTATTAGGAGTAATAACCCTCAGGCAATAGTATTTATCCGGCGAAACTATTTCACTTTGTTAACGGTTGCAATACTATAATTATGAATTATGAAAACTATAATTACTATAATTATGAATTATGAATACTATAATTACTTCATATATTCATTGTATCTGATTATGAACTTTGATGGTTTGTTTCTGACATCATTTTGTTTCATCAATCATATTACTTGAACCATTCTAACAAGGATTCTGGTTAGCTTATTGTAGCCTGCTGACGACACTGTTGTTGGCTGTGCAATAAATGTTTGTTTTGAAAATTAAAAATTATGCCTGAGAAATTTAACGGATTAATTGTTTATTACAAATTAAATAGAGAAACCATGGCTGTACTCTGTTCTGTTGTAAAGCTCTTAAGAAGTGGCTGAAGCAGTCAAGAAGTGGGGGAAAACATTCGTGTATCATATCCCACACTTCTTTCGTGCTCTGGCTACTCCTTGCGTGCTTTGCAACAGAGCACAGTCAAATGGCTTCTCTATTTGTTGAATGAAGTTTTCTGACAAACAAGGCCTAGATGCAAATGACGTTTTTCAAAGTGCACATGACAAAACTTCAACATTGTAAAAAGAGGTAAAGAAGGATGTCTAACCTTTCGATCTCCGTATCCAGACATTTTGCTTACTTCGTTTAGTAGAGGTATCGTCCGAAACTAATCAACTCACTTCGAATAACACGACAGAATAACCGCTGGTTTGCTGAGAAAAATGACGTCAAATGTTTGCGATGTGCCGGTGACCGCCTGAAGAAGAGTTAAGCAGTGTGCGATCTCCATCCGAAGTGAACACACCGTGAAGCAAACATTTCCCTTTTAAGTATAGGGAGATGTTAAATGTGAATACATTTCTGATAGTCAAAGGGCTAAATGCTGCCCTCAATCAAACGCTATGCCCAAATAGAAGAATTTGCCATTTATTCAAATTCATGATGTTCACCATTCTTGTAGTGAACGTCACAAGCCAAACAATCTACTATCAGAATGATTCCATCTCAGCAACAGAGGCTTTCTGTTCTTTCCGTTTTCAAAAATATTAACAAATGAATTAAGCGCCTTCCATAAAACAAGTTTTCACATAAAGGAGTGCTTCTACATCATTCTATATCACTGTGTCTGATGTTTTGTTTTAGAACTTAGCTGACAGCCCCAGAGAGGGAGATAGTATTTTAATCTCATACCATTATAGAGGGGGCTGCTACTTCATATTTTCTTTTAGAACTAATTTCATGGTCAAGTGACTTCTATCCACAATTCTCTTGAATATTTCTACATTTTTTGCATTATTTTGTCTTTTCATCCACTGTGTAAACTGAAATTGTGATTCTTCACCATACAACTCAGTGCGATGTACATGGCATCTTTCCCCCTGAGTAAACCCATTCATCCCAATTTTCATCCACCCAAGCTTTTCCTGTCATGTCTTCAGTTTGTTGGAGAATTCTACATAGTTTGATTTCATTCTTGGCCCATTCAAAGAAATCAAATTCAGAATCTGCCTGATTGACTGACTACCTTGGACTAAATTTTATAGAATCACTTTGTTCACCAGAATTGAAAGATTTATGAACTGTCAGTGCCAGAGAGTAAGCTTCCCTCTGTACTCTGGAGCATGCCTCAACCTGTTGTTTTGCCCATTGTGTAAACCAAAAGGGTGACGTCTTGGAGAACATTTCTCCCACACTGCCATGATTCAATTTGTAACTAGACTCTCCCCCTACACTAGGAATGCAATCCACATGTGTACAAGAATTATACTCAGTGAAATCTCCATCCAGAATTTCTCTGCACTTTGCCATCTGATCCTTTTTTCATTGCAAAAAATTAAATGACTGGCTTGGTTCCTGCCCAAGTGAGAGTGAGTCTACTTCATATTTGTCATTTCTTGCTTCACAATTTAAATCACTGCTGGAAGTTTGTCACTTCTTGGTTTTTAAGGAGGTTTTGTTGTTATCAGGTTCAGGTATGGGTGGAAAATCACTTTCACCATGTTCATCAGGAATGTCACTTGGATCACTCCAGTGTGATATTCCACTGATGTTTAAAGCTGTAATACTGTGATCTTCATTTTCTTCTCTGTTATTGAGCTGCTCATTTATCTGAGATATGTCTGTGTTGCATCCTGTATCAGCAAGGGAGAAAACATACTACCTCTTGTAACAAAATAATCAAATTTTGCTGTTTTTACACGGAAGCCAAGCCCAGTAACCGGCCACTGGAAAGGAAATGAGTGTGCTTCCTTAAATACTGGACACCAGAAAAAGGATCATCTTGAAATTAGTCTGCTTTGCAGCCACCATTTTGGGTCATGTTCTTGTTTATAGGCACAGGAGCCTCTTAAATATTAAGCAAGTTGTTATCTTAGTTTTGCTTTCCTGGTAACTGTTGCCTAAGAAACCTCCCTGAATGTGGGTTCTTGTCTTATTTTGTTTATTGGTATATTCCAAATGAAGTTTGTTTAAAAAGGTACTTTCAGACCCACTCAACTTTTGTCCAAGATACTGTAAGACACGATCAATGGAAACAATTTCACCCTCGACTTCATTGAAAAAGCAAGGGGAATGAGACTACAGAACATAATACATCATTCAGTTGAAAACTTCAACATCCTTCCCAGACATCTCCCCTAGCATTTCAGTTTTTTGAAGATTGCTTTGTTCCAATTGCCCACCCATGTGCCAGATATGATGGTCAATTTTTTTTACCAAGCTTTTGGGTAGATCTTGAAGATCTTTTTTTTTTTTTTGAGCTCTTGTTTGCAAAAGTGAACTCTATACTTTTTACACCTTCATATTTAAAGTCATTAAATTGCTGGTATTCAACCCAAAAGACTTAGCACCTCCACTTCAAATCTCCCCACCCCAGCTAGGCAAGGTAAAATTCCCCACTTACCCATCCCTGGGCTCGGACACTGTTCCAATGCCTGTGAGTTCCCTGGGGGGTGGGGTTGGGGTTGGGGGGAATATTGAAGTTTCCAATTGACTGGCGCATAATAACCCTTTAATATTTCTACAATAATAGGTATACACCCTAATTTTCTGAGAAAAGATTGAAGATATTTGTCTTGGTATGGCTGTGAGCAGAAGAATCGGCTTTCAAGACTTACAAATGAATGAATCTAAATTAATTTATAGAGCTCGAGGCAATAAAGTAATTTCCAAGCTTGCCAATATCTATCTTGCTTTGAGTAAATTATTACCTACACGTGAAAAATGATTCATATTTTAGTAAGACAGCTGATAGAAAGGTGCTTTTAAATACCTGACGATGAATCTTCTCGTTGTCTCTTCACTGGAATCTTCATCGGTCTCTTTTCTGGATCTTCTTTCCTGTTCGACGCGGCGTTATTATCCCTCAGACAGCCTCTCGAGTTTGATTGTCCACCTGCCTTGAAGAACCCGTTAAGCTTTGTCCGTTTTGCATTCCGTAGTTCATTTTACTGTTCTCGGCGAGAGAGGGAAACAAGAGATCTGTACATTGAGGCAGCCTGGAAGCAAGATTTAACAGGCGTTTCTTTTTCGTTTTCTTCGTCTTTGCACCCTTTTGGGAAGCTAATTGGGTTTCGCCCCTTTTAGAATTTGCAGAAAGCCACTGTCCACAGCCTTCTGCACAGTTGGACACGATATTTTCAGTCAAAGAAATTAACAAATCGGCGAGAAGTTAAAATTTGACAATGTTCAAAATGGCGCGCTAATTTAAACAGCCTCGCTTTGATTGCATATTTCAGTGCTACAATACCCCCGGAGAGGACCCCTAAGAAAAAAGAGAAAGCATTGTAACTTTTCCACCTAAAGATTGAATATTTCCTCTTCAATGTATTTATCTATAAAGGTAAGAAAAATCCTAACTAACGGGAATGGAATCTGGAGGTATTTCATCTCGCATTAATAGGAAGTGATACGCAGTTTGATTATATCTCGGGAGTCCGCCTATAGTGATGTTTTTGTTTTGGTGTCCGTCGGATCACTTCCAGCCAGACATACAAGAATCATTCTCATAGATGGAGCGCGAGCGATAACATCTTTTAGTCTTTCCACAGGAGATTGCAGAATGGCCAGGGCAGTTGATCGAATGAGAAGTCATTCTGCAGCGAACATCACATCAATAGATATTGGAACAACCACAATCGCTTGCCTTACATTTGTTTCTTGAGTGGCTCTGTAGTTACACAATCCACTGGGTAGTAATCATATCAAAGTGGACCAGGGCAACAAACCTAGAGACTAGTGTCCAAAAACCAGAAGTTCATTGTAGTACCCATAATCAGACAATAGTGTCCAAAATCAAACCTTGTTGTCCAGTTTTGGACTGAAATTCTTAAATCTTCCTTTAGTGACCATCTGTTATTTTTGTATAGTCCTGAGAGGACCTTCCGTCAGACATGTAGAACACAATTAACTACATTGAAAGGCAGGGAGTAGGGTTGGCGTAGTGGTGAGAGCGCTCGCCTTTGACCAATGTGTCCCGGGTTCGATTCCCGAACCCAGCGTCATAAGTGGATTGAGTTTGTTGGTTCTCTACTCAGTGCTCCGAGAGGTTTTTCTCCGGGTACTCCGGTTTTCCCCTCTCCTCAAAAACCACCATCATTTGAATTTATTTCATTTAGAGTTTATTTCCATTTACACACGACCCCACAAGCTGTTCAGCTTTAAACATTATCATGTCTAAATAAAGGTATTATTAGATACAATGAAATATATGAACTTCACATATTTCATTGTATCTAATTTGACACTTTCACGGGTTTATTACGAATCAACTTAACGGCCTGCTCCCAGTTGGCTTGTTAGCTCAATTGGTAGAGCGCTGCACTAGTATCGCAGAGGTCAGTGGTT